TATTTATTTATTTATTTATTTATTAGATTTCTATCCCGCCCTATTAGACACCAGGTGGGTTCCATTAAACATTATAAGCTAAAACAGTTAAAACAATTAAATAATGTTAGTAATGCTCAAGATGGGAAAACAGAAAATTATAATAAGAATAAAGTCAAGTAGCAGCTATGCCTGGGAGGACTGAGTAACACGGGTGGTAGAACATAGGGAGAGACTTATTTATTAGATTTCTATCCCGCCCTATTAGACACCAGGTGGGTTCCATTAAACATTATAAGCTAAAACAGTTAAAACAATTAAATAATGTTAGTAATGCTCAAGATGGGAAAACAGAAAATTATAATAAGAATAAAGTCAAGTAGCAGCTATGCCTGGGAGGACTGAGTAACACGGGTGGTAGAACATAGGGAGAGACAGGTATTGAGGTCCCAAACCATTGAGGGCCATATACATCAATACTAAAATTTGACATGGGAGCTCAAAGGAAGGCAATCCAAATCAGCCAGGATCAGGGAGATACAGTATAATCATATCTCAAAGCCCCCCAAATCAACCTGGCTGCCACATTTTGGACCTGCGGCAAATTCTGTACCATCTTCAAGGGCAGCCACACAGAGAGAGCATTGAATTGATTGTTCTTCAAGATTACTAATGCATTCACTAGTGCGGTCAGGCTTTCCTGTCCAGATAGGGAATGCAACAGTGCAATCTGCTGAAGTTGAAGAAAGGCAAACGTAGCCACAACAGAAATTTGACTCTTCATAGAGAAAGCTGAGTCCAGAAGCTTATCTAAGTTGCATACCTAGTCCTTTAGTTGGAGTTTAGCTCTATCCAGACCTGGTGAAATACCCCTAGCCAGTCAGGTTGCCCCACACGACAGCAGGATCTGCATCTTGCCAGGATTCTATTTCAGCCTATTCATCCATCCATTATTGATGCCAGACAGTGCTCCAGGATTTGAACAGCCTTCGCTGCTGAAGATATAAAGGGGAGATAGGGCTGCAGATCATCAGCATATTGATGACAGCAGACTCTACATATCTGGGTGAACTAACTCAGTGGCTTCACATTGATGTTAAAAAGCATCAGAGAGATGATTGACCCCATAAGGTCGAAACAGCATCCCCAAGTTGAACCATGTGAACATGGCCATCAAGAAAAGGCCACAGCCAGTGCAATGTTGAGCCTCTAATGCCTAGATGCAGTAGGCATAGCCTGATTGGTGGTATCAAAAGTCACAGAGAGATCTAGGAGGATCTTCTGGTTGGCCTCCCTTTGCAGGTCTTTGAGCAGAGTGACCAGAGCTGCCTCAGTACCATGGTGCAGCCTGAATCCCAACTGAAATGGATTCAGGTGATTGGTATCACCCAAGAATGCCTGCACTGGTCAGCCACCATTCTATCAGCCAGTTTACCCATAAACAGAATGTTGCCAACAGGTCTATAATTATTTGAATCATCTGTCGCTAATGAGGATTTTTAAAGAATGTCCCAAACAGTGGTCTCCTTCAGACAAGGAGGGATATAACCTTCTTGTAAAGAAGAGTTTATGATCTGAGTGGCCATTCCACCATGACCTCCTTGGCAGATTTTAGAAGCCAGGACAGTCATGGGTCTAACTGAGAGATAGTGGCTTTAGAATAGGCAAACATCTTATCTATGTCATTAAACATTACAGGCTGAAGTTGATCCAACAAAACCAGACAGGACAGTGTGTTGACATCCCAATGCGATCAACTGCACTCTAACAGAGCCAAAGTCATGGTAGATGGCCTCAGTCTTAGATCAAAAGCAAAACAATTACAAGTACCTACATCAGAATAAGGACCATTGTGCTGACCAGCAGTAGTGACTTTGCAGACCACTTGGGAGCGGTTTGAAACCTCACTAATGAGCTTGACATGATAAGCTCTCTTGACAGTTTTTATGGTGTTACAATATTTGATGGATAGGTTTCTATCCATCAGCTAAATTTCTGCAGCTAAATTCCCATTTCATGGAGATTTCCTAGAGTTGCTCTCTAGCCTTCTTCTCATTTATTTCATAGCTAAACCCAGGCGAGGGAAAAGCTCTGGAATGGAGAGGGCATTTAGGAGCAATTGTGTCAACCATCAAGGTCATTTGGTGATTGGGTTTTGACAGGAATGCCGAACAAATCAAACAGAATCCCACCCAGGGTATCTTGGAAACCAATTGGATCCAGTAGCCGTTTGAGGGGGATCATCATAATAGGCCCCACCTCCCCGCGCAAGAGGATTGCAATTGAAAGTCCAAACTTCAGCAGATAGTGATCTGCCATGACATGGTGGAGAATATTAGATCCAACGCCATCACATCACCGCCTCCCCAAATGCCTTGAAACAGAAAGTCAAGTGTATGGCCTGTCACATGTGTGGGACCATTCACAAGCTGGGATAGGCCCATAGACGTCATGATATCCATGGACTCCAAGGCCAAACTAGCAGCTGCCTCCAGATGAATGTCAAAGTTGTCCTGGAGCAACCTCAGCAGTGCAGGAGAACTCAAGTCTGACAGCCCCAGTAGGGAGAACACTGGCCGCAGGATGAGAAGTATGCTAGAATCAGCACACTGGTACATTGGAAAGTATAAATTAGTTTAGTTGGTGTGACTTCTTACACATAAATGGCTCTGTGCTGCCTAATAGTAGGACTGGCTCTTTGCTGAATCATAGAATTTTAGAATTCACAGGTCTAGCAGAAACGACAACCTTAAGTTTACAGAAAATGACTCAACTCATAATTATATCAGTTACAGAGAGTGAATGTTCTTATGAAGCATGAACAGGAACTACAAGGCCAGGAATATAAAGTGATGACTCAGCTTCTCTCCAATGATTTTGTCAACGTGTCCTTCAAAGAAGTCTGTCGGTCAGTAGTTATTTTCCCTCTCCTCCTTACGCCCCAGTCGATATTTTCAGCAGCCCTCTCACTCATTCATCTGGGCCAGTGCTGATCTTGAGGATCAAGTGTTCTCCTTCTGTTCCACCGCAGAGGTGGCAAACGCTGTGATTGTGTTACCTCTTGGGATGACATGATTGTTCCTAAAACAATTTATTAGTCTTGCTGTTTGGTATACTGACATGTTTCCTCCCTCATGAGGTTCAGGACACTACGTACTGGGTTCCCAGGGAATTTGAACTCAAGATAATCATGTCGGTCCTATTATTAGAGTGAGGGGAGTGATGATTCAGATATTCCCTCCTGGACTATACCTAGAGATGCAGTGAACTGATTCTGCCTTTCAGTCCACACTTCAGGGTGTCGAACCCTACCCTCCAAAGCTGGTCCTTAACCCTGGATAGCTCTTTTAATGTTCAGGCTGAAACATGTAGTCAATTCACAGCACTGATAATGTTAGAACCCCCAGTCTCTAACGGCCTTCTGGTCAAATGATGCACTCTAGGGATAGCTCTTCCTCTGTACGATTCACCTGCTTGATTCACCTACAGAGTTCCTTGTATGTTTATTTTTCAACAACAGATGATACCCTGGGAAATTCAGGCCTGAATTTTCCGAACTTCCTTCTTTAATTATTCATAACATTATTTTGCTTGTGGTTTTTTTAACTGAGCTCCTTTATTTTTGCAGATAGTTTTTTTTTTTAAACCAAGTTCTTTTATTTCCTTAGAATGTGCTTTGTGAAGATGAATCTCATATTGGTTGCTGTCGAGTTTCAATCTGGCATCCATGGAAATAGGTAAAAAACCACATTGTTGAACAATCTTGTGTGCTGTATAAAGTCCACCAAGATAATAACCACCTCCAGCATCTTTTGTTTGAACAGTTCATACGGCCAGAGGAACACACTCTGAAATCTCTTTAAACAGCACCCCTGACCTAGGGAGACAGTTCTGTAAAGTGGGATCAATTCCTCAAATGATTGGGGAAGGGGAAGATTTGTAGCTCATATTAATCTATGAAGCCCTCTTTTTTTCTTTTCTTTTTTTTTAAATCATCATTCTTATCCCTATCTGCTTCCTGTATTGAATAGGGACAGGGGTAGGTGCTTTCAGTCAATGAAATTTAGTGGTTATTCTCCAAATGTTTGCCTTTAGCCTCTTGATCAATCCGTCTTCAACGGTTAAACTTGAGTTGAACACAATGGGCTTTTTCATTGCCAAGTCAAAAAGAGAACTCAGAAGGTAATTTCTTTTAATTATTTGTATTCAGGATTTGATAATTGAATTATATTTGGAACTGTTAATTTTTGGAGTGGATTTAAATCTTGGGGTGCAAAGGTTGTCCATCTTTGACCAGTTTGGGGTGGGGGTGAAAATGGAACATCGGTTTCATCAAAATGAAGAAGCCATAGGAACAGTAGAATGGGTTATGCAAGTCAAATTGTTATGGTGTGAGAAGGACAGAGAGGAAGAAAGCCACCCTTCCCTCCACCGTTCTTTATCGTTTCATGTAATTCTCTTCATTTCTCCACAACTTGAAAAAGTTACTTTTTCAATTCAGAAACCTAGAATGGATTGTGGTGCTGAGAGATTCTCGGCCCTTTAGTGTGAAAAGCAATTTTTCCAATCTGTTTTTCCCATACATTTAAACATAGAGATGCACTCACAAATAAACATAACAGTCTTGCATGTATCCTCACATATAGTTTGAATATCTGGAAGTTGAATCAGGGCAACTGGACATCTTTCTTGTTAGGCTGAAATGTTTCGCTACTCATCCAAGTAGCTTTTTCAGTCTGAGGAGAGTCGGTAGAAGATCCCCGATATATCCTCTGCTTTGGTTTCACTTCCCCCGGGTCTGAATAGGTTCTGTCAACTCCTATTTATCATGCTGCCCTTTCATCCATCCCCAGAAATATCAGGACCATACACACCAGAAAGACCGTGCTAACAACTGTTAATGACCCATGACAATGAGTAGAGGACTGTAGAAGTAGGATTATCCCTCACCCCAATCCTTTGTCCTTCTAACGAGTCTATTCAGACCAGGGGGAAGGGAGACCAATGTGGAGGATATTTCAGGGATCTCCTACCTACTCTCCTCAGACTGAGGAAGCTACATGTACTTGAACGAGTAGCAAAATGTTTCAACTGAGCAAGTAAGAAGTCCAGTTGCCATGACTCAATGACCAGATAACCTTACCTGAATGACTGAGAATCTTCACAGATATATAGCTCGAATAGTTCCACAAATGGACACCGCCCATAGGTATCAACTCTCTAAATTGTGTTAAGTTAGCCTTGTAAAATTACTAAAAACAAACAAACAATGCGTCACCAAAAGAGGGATCAAAATGGTTATAGATATGCTGCCCAGGTGCTAGTTGATGATGACCAGGTGTTGAAGGAGCCATAACCCATTTATCTGCAGGGGGGGGGGAATCCATGTTTAAATCCCAGAGATCCTCTGCTGTGTAGACAGCACAATGGCCCAGTGGTTTGACGTGGTGAAAGATGATGTTCTGACTTAAAGGCCCCTACATTTTCCCTCGTTTCTCTTTATTTCTAACCTGAACTTGGACTGGGTAGCTCTTCACACATGTAACTCATAAAATGAAGGCTTATTTTTACACATTTACTTCTGTAATCTTCTTGGTGATCCATTATTAATTCATTTCATTTCATTTCCATTCCAATTTTTTCCCTTGTAGGACTTGAGGCAGCTTACAATATGAGTTTGAAAAACAAATAAAGATTTAGAAAATACTAGATTACAGTGTTAAACACTATTAAATGACTTAAAGCAGTCACTGAATTTGACACAACTTCAAAAGTATTTTAAAACACAGCAAAAAAAAGTGGTATAACACCTGCCATTAAAATGCTATCAGTAGTGAGGGATGGGTGACCTTCTGTTACAAACATTTAACTAGGTCCTTGAATCTGATTTGTTCATCTTGACCATGACTACACATTTTAGAATACCCAGAGTAAGCTCTTATTGTGGGTTATCCAGAAAAAGGCATGAAACTATCTGTTTCACATATCACACTTTAATGCAATTCCTCACGTTAACGAGGGATGGGGAGCAGGCGCTGGCATTGGGGGCCTTCCCACTATCCCACTGTGACTGACAGCTCTGCTCAGCCCCTAGCCAGGTGTCGGAAGAAGGAAACGCTGGAGCTGCCTCACTCGGGCAGAAGCGGCTGGCCAGTGCCAAGGGGGCCAAGAAGCCTCCCGAGTACTGGCTGGGCAGTGAGACTGTTCTTGCCTGAGGGGCAGCTCCAGTGGGTTCATTCTGACTGCCTGTCAAGCCCCAGTGCTATCAGGAGCTGGGAAGCCTTCCAGAACTGTCTGGTGCAGATAGAAGTCCTGGTGCAGTTTTAAAATGGTGCCAATGCACACTTTTAAAAACCACACCAGGGCTTGCATCATGTGATGCACTTTCTGAAAGTGTAGTGGTATGTAATACGGCTGCCAATGCACAATGTCTGAACCATATCCTGTTCCCTTCCAGCCCAAGGACCAGAGCTACAAATATTTTTGGAATATTTTCACCCATATGATTCGCTCCTAGCTTAGCTAGTGAGCCTCTGCACTAGGTTCCCTCTCCTTTAGAATTCACCCGCTCCTCTACCAGGAGCAACAGCTTTTCTCTGCTGTGGCTGTGAAACTCTGGAATGCCTTTCCCCAGAGTCTTTCTCCTTCTTTCCTCCTCTCAAAAAAAAAAAAGAAAGAAAGAAAGAAAGAACAAAGAGAAAGAAAACATAGGCTAAAGGTATATACATATTCTCAAGACATTTGGAAAGAAAAAAAGAAAAAGAAAAAAAAGAACAAAGTGAAAGAAAACAGAGGCTAAAGGTATATATATATATTCTCAAGACATTTGAAAACAGAGTTTTACTTTCAATTTTCCTATTTTGGGTTAGTTTAACTTAACACATACTGACAAGGTTTTAATTGGATCTGAGGGAGGAAGCATACATTGTAAACAAGTTATTATTTTGTAGCTGTCATGCAATGAAAGGCAGCTTATAGACATGACAGATAAATAGGAAAATAAACAAGGAAATCTATGAATGCAGGAGAAGGGAATCCTAATAGCCTTTTAAAGCCGGCTGGATAAGTTAGGATGAGGCAGAGGGACACCTGCTGCATGCGGAGAGGAGATTTGGTTGTAGGGCAGCCAGTTCACCCCACAGCTGCTGATAGACTTGCAAGAAGCCTTCTGTTCAAGGGATGTTGGAGGAGCATGTGGAAGGCACACTTGGGCCCATCAAATTCCAAACCTGTTTGCTGCGCTGTAGTCCACCAGGAACATGCTTAATAACTGGTCTTCCCCAAATATATCATTGTTCAATTTCCTCTCAGTACTTTCAGTAGGAGGGGGAAATGTTGGTGAGGGGACTCTATGAGAGAAAAAGAAAGAGCACCTCTGACACAAACATCTCCTGAGCTAGCTAGTGTCAACCAAGAGGGTCTCAGAATTGTTGGCTTGTCTGTCACCCCACCCCTTCCTTTCCCCAGCCATGCGCACCCTGCTTAGAATTGCTCTGCCTAATAGCCTTGCTGTTTTCTATCCTGTTATGTTCAAGCCCATGGTTGTTTGTTTGTTTGCTCTATTTGTGTTGTCCAGGGCTCGGTGGTATTGTAATTTATGCCACAACCACGTCCTGAATCCAGAGCTAATTTCAAAGTGCCGTTGCAAAAGGAAAAAAGGCTTCTCCATTTCTGGTAATGTTCCATTCATTTCAGAGTAACCTCAACCATGTACAAGCGACAGTTGGATTACTTAGTATTCATTTCTAGTTTTCATTACTGGGGGTGGGAGAGTTATAGAAATGGTTATTGCCAAGCATAGGAAACACAAGTCCATATTTTCATGTGCATCAGTTCTTGTGCTCAAACAGTTTAATAATGTCAGCATTAGGGATGGGCATGAACCGCCAGTTCGGCAGTTTGTCCCAGTTTGTTTGCCACTGCAATAGGTGTTTGGCAGTTCAGTGTCACACACACACACACCCGAAGGGCACTCACTCGGAGGCAGTGCCCAGAGGAAATGGGACAGGGAAGCCGGGATGTTGCTTCCAAGTGGGTGTCTGCAGGAGGGGATGGGGTGCCGAACTGCCAAACACCTGTTGTGATGATGAACAAACCGGGATAAACCACTGAACCAGCGGTTCACGAACAGCTCTAGTCAGCATATAACAGGCATCAAAAAAATTGATATCAGGGATCAAAAAAAAATACCAGTCTTCATTCTGTTACATTTTTTGAAATCTCATCTATATTCCTATCCCACATTCATTGTTCAATATCACACTCTAAGATTTTGCTGTTTCTTCCTGCATGGAAATTTGTATGCATTTTCTGTACACATTTTTCTGTAGGACTTTTTTTTTTTACATAATTTCCCATTTTTCTTACTTTTTCCTACTCAGTAGTACATCTTTACATGTATACTTCAACTGCACATATGTTTAGCCATTTTACATGTATAGACAGTTTTGTATATGCTTTGTTTCTTAAATTAATCACAAAAATCTGGATTTCTGAGGCAAGGGCTGCCATCCAGTAGGGAGTTGCAACTAGAGTAGGGGCACTGAATCATTGGAACTTATTGAGGACCTGGCTCACCAAATCCTTTCTGATTCAATGGAGCTACTCTAGTTGTGACTCACTAGCGGATTTTACCCACAGCATTCTTTTATTGGTGATTTACTTTTCCTGAGAACCTCAACTGAATGAAATTCTTTTCCATCCCTAGTTTATCATTGTTCAATTATTCACTTGTGGTTTGTATTTTCATAGGATAAACCGTGTTATTTGTTCCAGGTAAAATAAGTTCCTTGTGGTACATTAAAGATTAACACTGGTATATGATCTATACCCCCACAAACATATATGCACATACCTGGGCATTTAAGGAAAAATTAAAATTATCATTGCATGAGAAATGTCATCATGCAGCAGAGCAATTCAACATTCTAAAAGGCATTCTAAAAAATGAGGGCAGTCCAACAAAAATTTATGACTTTGAAACTGGATCAGCACCAAATTTCGCATGTGTAGCCAAAAGACTGTTCTTTTTCTGTGCAAATTTGGTGAAATTTGGGTGAAGGGTTTTTGCATTATGATTTTTTGAAAGTAAAACTTTTTTTATCCCACCCCGTGCAGAAATAAGCAACCTTAAGCATCTCCAGTTTTAAAATAGATCAGACAGACAGACAGACAGACAGACAGACAGACAGATAGATAGGCATTTTTATTGGCATAAGTAGAAATTGGACATAGTCATGGTGGTTTGTATATACCAGGATCCAGGTCTATAGAGCCTCCGTCCTGAGTACACTCCTGTACTGCAGTGAGACCTGGACCCTTTGTGCACAGCAGGAGAGAAAGCTGAATACGTTCCATATGCATTGTCTTCTATGCATTTTTGGTATCACCTGGCAGGACAACGTTCCAAATAGAGTAGTCCTAGAATGAGCTGGAATTTTTAGCATGTATACATTACTGAAACAGTGACATCTACGTTGGCTTGGGCATGTCGTGAGAATGGCTGATGGTTAGATTCCAAAAGATCTCCTGTATGGAGAATTAATGCAGGGAAATCGCCCCAGAGGGAGACCACAGCTGCGATACAAGGACATCTGCAAGCGAGATCTGAAGGCCTTAGGAATGGACCTCAATAGATGGGAAACTGACATCTGAACATTCAGCCTGGAGGCAGGCGGTGCTTCATGGCCTCTCCCAATTTGAAGAGATATTTGTTCAGCAGGCTGAGGCAAAGAGGCAGTACCAAAACCAGCAAAATCAGGGAGCTGGAGAGGAAACAGATTGTATTTGTCTTCAGTGTGCAAGGGATTGGCACTCTTGAATTGGCCTTCTCAGGCACACTACACTAAAAGAGCCTTGTGGCTCAGTGGTTAAACCGCTGTACTGCAGCCAAAACTGTGCTCACGACCTGGGGTTCAATCCCAGGTGGCGGCTCAAGGTTGACTCAGAGTTCTATCCTTCCGAGGGGGGGGGCAATGTGTAGCCTGCATAATTAACTTGTAAACCACCCAGAGAGTGCTTGAAGTGCTACAGAGTGGAATATAAGCAGCACGCTTTGCTTTGCTTTAGACGCTGTTCCAAGAGCTCTATTCAGATGCCTACATATTCTGGATCACTTCCTAGAATGACAGGCCTATGGAACTATTATAGTAGTGTTGTAAATAAGAATAAATAAAATTAATTTAAGTCCTTTGTTTCTCCGGCAAGATCCTGGAAGAGAAAAGAACTAGAGAGAACCCACACAATAAATTTGCAAATAGGAAAAGTGGTTTATTTGAAAGAGACAGTTGGTCTTGCAAGATGGAGCACTTTGATCTGAGACTGAAAATACAGGCAGCTCAGTTTGATACAGAAGAGCATATGTACTATACAGGGTTCTTCCCAAAACAAAACTGATCATGTAATGCTGGTGATTGCAGAATGGCAAGTCCCGAATTTCCATAAGCAATTCTGACCTAGAGTTACGTATGTCTTCTTACGTTGTTACTCTTATTACTTTGAGGTACTAGGAATATGGCCTTGTAGCCCTTCTCGCCTTTCTCTGGACATTAGCAAAGGACAAAGACATGCTGTGAATGTGATCACCCCATATTCACATGTTACATTTGGTGTAATGTATTGGAATGACGACACAGCTCCTATCTGGAAAGGATGATTACTTCCCTTGTTGCCGGCCTTTGGACTTCTGGCCTTAGGTTTGGTGCTTTCCTGTGTCGTTGCTCACTGTGTTATCTCCTTTGTGTAGGCCAAGGAGACAACTTTCCCAGTTGCAATGCTTAATGTTTTGGGAGACATTACTTTCAGAGAATGCTGATTCTAAGTTTCTGGAGCTAATAAGGCCCTTTAGATAAATACAGTATTGGAAAAGAAAGGGGGATCAATATATTTTGATTTCCATAGCAGTTGCAACAGACACCAACTTTAACACCCTGTTAATACAGGGAATCTACAGCTAATGCATTCCTAAGAATTCCTGCTTAAAATTGTCCAACGAAGGAGATTCCAAGATAATCCATTCCACTGTCTAATAATTCTTATCGTAAGGAAATCTTCCTAATGTGAAATCTCTTTTCATGTAATATGAAATGCTGGCTTTGGTGTGACTCTCTGGAACAAGAAAAAACACTTCTCTTCCCATCTTCTACGTAACAGTCCTTCAAATACTAATTTCAGGTCTTGGTTCCAACTAGAATAGACTTGTTGAACAAGCAGTTCTAACATAATTATTGACTTAATAAATCCAATTGTACTTGTTTTTAACTATATTGTACGCTGTCCTAGGTCTCAGTTTCAGAAAGCCAAGATACAAACCAAACCAAATTAGATCAAATGAATAAACCAATCCATCCAATCACTCATCCCATTCAATAGTTCTACTCATTTGGCTTTAAATTTAAAGAACACTCCCTTATCACCTCTCAGTTCAGTCTCTCTTTCCTTTACAGTTTCCCACTGGCTAGTAAAAAGGTCACCTCTCAGTTCAGTCTCTCTTTCCTTTCCCACTGGTTAGTAAAAAGTAAGGATGGAAAAGGAGACAACTTTGGAATTCAAATTGACTTTGATTGTTTATAAATCTACCCATTTACTAGTTTGTGAGACTATTAATTGAACCTCATGCATAACTTTTGCTTTTCGAACATTTTACTCTTTCTCTCTCCTTCTTAAAACGTTATATTCTTGTCCATGTGCAGAAATGAAATGAATATATGAAAAAATGCAAAACTAATGGGGAACATACTCAAAGGCCCTGTACATTAAGATAAATGCCTAAAAAACATAAACATTAGGAAAAGCACATGTCAAAATATGCTCAATTTTCAGCTCAGCAAGGCCAAAAAGGAGGAGGTGGAGGAAGAAGAAGAGGAGGAGGAGAAAGAGAAGTCATCTTATAGCCCAGTACACCATTTGGATGGTTCTTAGATAGGATGAGAAGCTGATGGGAGAAACACAACAAAAATGAAACTGACAGATTTTCACATGCCTAGTAAGAAGTGTGAGAATTCAGTTTAGAACTGCCATATCAAAAGTCAGTACAGCATGATGATGTCCAAGTTGTGGTAGGAGAACAACAACAAGAAGAAGATGATTACTAGAAAAGTGGAAGTAACCTCCCACTCCCTGTCAATCCATCAGTTTGAACTACTTTACTTGCCACTGTGCTAGGCATGATGCCAGTTATGTCTTGTCAGTGTGAGGAAGACCATATTCCAACTGAGCTGCTGTATCAACACAGAGGCCTACCAGAGAAGCATTTCTTTCTCCCATGCTGTTTGAAGCGGTGAGTAGGATAGATGTCATAACAGTACGCAGAGGACTGTTATTGGCCCCACAATTCCGGCTATCTGCCATCACCTCAGAGATGTCAATCCTCACTGGTTTCATCCCCATTTGCAAAGATGAGGAACCGCTAATTTTTTTTCCCTTCACCAGCAATGCTAACAAGGAATTCCCTGTTGCTCCCGACAGAATTCTCACACAGAGCATAACTAGGTTTTGCATGAAAAATCCTGTTTTTTATCCAAAATTGCCTCTGCTTTCCTGGAAAGTTGCACCATTCATATAATGGTGTAGACAATGAACATTGTTCTATACGAGAATGACTGGCTTTTTATTTAAAACTTTGGAGCTTTATTTAAGAATTGGGCAAATAACTCCAAAGTAAGGCTCTATAGGGG